GAGGGGTTGCATAGGGAGTAATTATGTTGAGTTTACTTACAGTAGTTATCTAACCTGAAAGCGATTAAAGGTACCTATCTTACGACTATGAGGTAGAGTCTATGGCGAGAAATTGAGCCACATGAGAAGGGCCGTTTTGACCTCGTACGCTGGAAAATTACATCTCGTAGCGGATCCTTCCAGATGCTGTAGATACAACCAAGCCATAGTGGCTCTCTTTGGCCTAATTAGCATATCCTCTCCTCCTTCCACGGTGGAAAGGGGGTGTTGCCTGCGTGAGCGGTAAGTGCAGCTGCCACCTTTCTCTCAGTGGGGCTGTACAACACCTGAAAGGATGAGATCTCTAGATAGAAGTTGAGATCATCCTCCTCACCACCGGCTGAGGTGAAGCCCCTCCTATATCGACTGCTCAGTAATGGCAATTAAGTACCAAGGCACTCCAGGACCAGATCAATTATATTACTGTGTTGAAAAGGTTACGTAGACAACCTACTAGAGATGTGATCCACCTACCGAGCACAGAGCACTCCGGACTGGTGTCGAAGTCGACAAAGCTAATGTTCCCCATCGCCTTTCTTGAATACAGGATAAATCACGCCCCGACCACAGAACGGAGATCAGCATTCACGATAGATATTCTCGTCACAGACCACTTTACAGGAATAACAAGGCACTGATAGGCAGGACTATCCGTGCAGTTTCGTGGGCATCCCTAGCTCAACCAGGAGCTCCCAACCAGTATTATATTATTATCCAGTCAACTGAATGCCCCCTTCCCCCTAGTTCTTCCCCCGGCCTCGGTGGCAGGCTAGATCTGGGTCAAATGCAGAAAGAGCCGCTCAACTCGGTCGTAGAGGGCACGGAGACGTGGGTCTTTTCCCCATGTCGCGCTCGGTTCTTCCAATTTGGCTCGTGTGAGTGCCGAAGAGAAAACCAAGATTGGTAGATTCCTCTTAATCTCTCTCCGACATATTGAGGAGGCGCGGTGCAGTCCTTCTCCGCAGTCGCTTCCCGTATCTGATAATCGGCAGGAAACTAGAGCCTTGACACATCGCCACCACGGCTGCGGAGATAAAGGCATTTCGTAACCCGAGGTGGGTCACCCATGGCGTCAGTCCGTAGCTGACCGCGAAAAACATGGTGTTACGGATGAGGATGACGGCGACCACCGCTTCGTGACCGGAGTACGAGCTGATACAGTAATTGATGCTTTCCTGCACCGCTATGGCGCTCCCTCCGGTGATCAGGAACATCGCCAAAATCATGGCGAACCAATGGATCCGATAGGACGCCCCCACCCCCCAAAGGACGAAGCCGGCCGGTAAAATGAAAATCTGGGGGAGTAGGAGCCAAAGTCGATGCTCGCTTTCCAAAACCCCCCCATTTTTCCGTGCCAGCTTGATCATAAGTCGGTTCCCATAGAGTCCGGTATACACGGCGGCAATCAGAACGCCGAGGAGGACCGCGAGGTAGGATACTCCGACCGTCCTCGTGCGGAATTTGTAGATCTTGGTCAGCACCAAGGAGGATGTCGCGTTGAGAAGGTTATACCAGGTGAGGCTGGCACCATAGGAGAATCCGCAAAATGCAATCACCGGAAAGGTGGTATAGACGAAGGGCCTTTTCACCATGCTCCCCAGCTGGTTCGGCTTCGGGAGATCTGCTTCCTGCCAGAGGCGGCATTTGTCGAACCACGTCTTCTTGGTTCGCGGTAAGCTACCGGCGTGGCCAAATGCAGCCGTGGAATCACTGGCACTGACTGGAGTCCAGGGAGAGTCCGGTCCTTCAGACTTCCCGTCCCCCATCGGGCTCCCTAGAGGGGAATTGATCTCTCGGACTGGATCCATGCGAGACCGAGAATAATTGGTCTCTTCCATCAAGAGGGCAAGGAGGACGAAAACGACGGCGCACAAGATGGCGCACCAGTACTACGACCGGGCCCGCCCGTCTGTCAGATAGTGGAACTCGAGCCAGGGAGTCGAATTGAGGGGGTCGAATGAGACGGATCATCGAGCTTACCAGAACCCATTGCCAACCCTGTCCGTCCGCGATGAAACCACCGACGATGGGGGCGCCGGTGCTACTTCCAGACAGAACCAAAGCGTAAAGAGTGGTGTAGAAGCCTCGCTCGTGGACGAAATACTGCGGCACAAAGGTCAATCATCTGTTCTGACCTTCTTTCCAGGCCGGGGTGGAAGGCTTGGAGTTCGGGAAGACTTCCTCCTCCTTGAAGAAATTGGCGGACATACTAGGTCTGTCACGCTGATGGCACATAGGCTCTCAATCGGGGCGCCGAAGAAGCCTTGCAGCACTTTGCTCGCTATCCACGTCGGCTGAGAATAGGTATAGGGTGCCCATATCATGGCCGCCATGGTTCCGATGGTGCTCAACAGGTAGACCGGACGTTTGCCGTACTGCAGAGCCAGAGGCTGCCAAAAGAGACACCCCCAACCGAAAGAGAGGAACTGTAAATCTCGGGTCAGGCCGGAACAGATCTGATTCGTGGAGGAAGTGAGAGACTCGTGTACTCAAGGGAGATCGAAGTTGTCACCGAACCAGGGTTGAATGAGGAGAAGGGGGTTAGAAGGAGGCAGGGGTGGGAAATGTTGTGATGTTTCAATCCCCAGAAGGAATGATGTGAGCGAAAACAGAACGAGACCCTCACCATATAACCGGTGCCTTGGTTTAACGTGGACAAATTCAAGCCGGTGTGCGCCGAGATATTCTCGAAAACTGAATAGATTGCCGCAGAGGATATTCCGACCGCGATTGTGTAGGCAAGTATACATGCCATCGCTAGGGTTTTGCGTTTCTTGGTCCATTTTAATGGATCATCGGGGTCGTGCTTGGAAGGAGTCAGCTGTGGTGAGGGAGAGGCAATCGGACAAGCAAAGCGACCGGGCACGAGCGATGGTCTTACTGAAGGCTGCGGAACCAGATTGATCACCTCTTGCACATCGATGAGGCGGACCGTACCTGGAATATTTTCTGTCAAAGCGTCCATGATACTGTAGCTGAAAGACAGGAATGAAGGACAAGATAGAATAGTGACATGGCCGGCCAAATACACTTTATAACTCCAGCTCCGCCGCTACTTCTCCTTGATTTTCGTCCTCCGCATTGCTTTTCCTGATACGGACGTCAAGGCGGACTCGGTGCTAATATTGCGCGACTTCTATCTATTACGTATCTTCATCAGTGGAGCTTCCGCCGTAGAGTTCCTTCGACGCGGCCACTCATCATGTATCTCTGTTCGTCATCCAGTATTTCTCCCCTGCTTTTCCCCGGCCGGGCCTTACTCAGGATGGTGAGCGGGCAATACAGCCATGATGGGCGAGTTAAACTTTACCTAGGTTTAATGCCAGGAATGGAAATATGGACAGCTATCGGGAAGCTTACAGAGAAGGAGGCTGGCATCTTCCTCCGTTCACTCGTCAGCTCAACCTTCGCACACGGCCCCGTTTTCGAGACATCGCGCCGAGACGCGGGCGACAGGCTTTATTGTGCTAGACGGCCGACGAGTGTCGAACGAGCAAGGCCTTGAGGAGTGCCATGACGGAAATAGCCTTCTGCCCATGTGGTCCTGTAGAATACCGACGTCTGTGTCCGCCGACCGGTGTGACGATAGAAGCAAAAACAATGAGAAGAAAACACGGAGCTATATTGATCTAAAATCTCACTCCTATGTTGCCCTTGCCCCCTCATCCTCGTCACCCTCACTTCGTCAAAGTCGTCAACTGAGATTGGCGATCGAGGAAGTTTTCGCCTCTAGAAACTAATCGAAACCGTCAATTGAGACGGGGGCCCCTTGAACGGCTCACGCTAAACTAATTTATCAGGCCAGGGATTATTGGCGCAAACTACGTCCGTGATTGTTGCTGGAGGCGTGATCTGCCAACCCGCCCCGACGATTTCTCCCAGGTAGTTTTTCGGGTCTGTATAAACGGTACAGATGAAATGCATCGCGGGCAGTGAAACGTCGATGATCGCCGTCACTTCGATGTTCTTGCAGTCCTGCCTGTCGCATTGCAGTTCGGTAATGGGATATGTGTTATTGTCCAGAGGAACAGTAACGGTCAAATCGGAAGTCGTCGTCTGGAACGTGAGCTGCATTTCCGATGGTTCGCCGCGGTGTTTGAGGGCCGGCGTGGCAAAGCTGGCGGAGACACCGCAGAGTATCGCCACTGCCAAGCGCAAGGGCATGGACAACGTGCGAGGCAGGTCAACCATATTGCGCGGTAAATAGTTGCTGAGATTGACCAATATAACTGAGGTGGGTGCTGATCGTTCACCGTCGAGATAAATCGTGTACAGTAGAGGGATTTGGACGTCGGTTGCTCTTAAGCTGAAAGATGTCGGCAATAAGCCAGAGAAGTTGTAACCTTTTCTATCTTCCGGTGACCTGATAGAATTTGCCTAGCGCACTGAAACCATAGCTGGTAGAGGGTGCGGCATTGTCATCTCTTTAGATTTTTTGGAAGTTTTGCTTCTCGACTCTGTTCGTTTTCTTCGTACTATATCCTACCTTCCATAACTGAACTTTCCGCCGTCCTTCATCTTTTCATCGACTTTGGTATTTTCGTACTTTCTCGTTCTTCTTTCCCTCCTGCTAGTATCCGCTTTATTTTGGCGAACAAGAAAGAGGGGGGTAAATGTCCAGTCTGAATGTCGTTTAGGAGATCCCTGACGAAGGAGGACATTGGGCACGAAATTGGTGACCTTGGGGACGACCAAACACTGTATTATTCAAGTCGTGAAGATCTTGCTAGATACTTCATGAAGGCGAGATGGAGCTGAATTACAGTAAATAATCCTATCAGACTTGACTTCTGGGTAATCACCCCCTCTCCCCCCGGCCCATTCTTCTCACCCCTCTATTCTTCCTTTTTTTTTTTTTTTTTTTTTGGACTGTTCTTTTGTCTTTTCGCTTTTTGTCTCTCTCTTCCTTTTCCTCCCTTTTACCCTCTCTTACAGACTTTCCCAATCTGGACGTCGACGGACGGGAGTGTCTTTGACAGACCGTCCGCCAACAATTACTCTAGCTATCTCACTAGAACAAGCCAGCTAACTTATTCCTGGACCCCTACTCGACACGGGTGACGAAGGTAACGAGGGTGACGAAACTTTCATCGTATCGTGCTGAATTTCTTCCAAAAATTCCAGCAGACGTGTTCCTCCAGCGCCCTCTACTCCGCCGCCGTCACTTCGCAGCCTCGCCAGTCCGAAAGATCGACCAGGGAAAGATGCCGGTTCAACAGCGTACCGCTTAGCGAAGCTCTTGTGAGTCGCGCGGAAATCGCGCAGGATACGACGACATCGATGATAGCCATCTGCGAGATCTGGCTGATGGTCGATAAAGCTGCTGAGAGTTCCGCCAAAATCGGTCTCCAAGTGGCCCAAGAACTCCCGGTGGGAGGATGGCATATGCGTGCGGATGTTCCGGAGGTAAGCTGCTACAAACTCACCGTGGGAGATGCCCAAGATGATATCGAAGGCCTGGAAGAGGGACGACTGAGCGGCCGAGATCCCGACGTACGTCCGATACGTGGACGGCTCATCAACCCCGTCGTAGTGGACCCCTCGGTTGTTGACGAGGCTCCATCCCCCAAAGTACGGTCGTATCTTCTGGTAGAAAGTCGCGTTGTTCATTCGAGCAACTTCTTTAAGTATGACGAGCATTTTACCCAGAGAATTCTGGGCTTCGAGGAAACATTCTTGGATGTGAACTCGGCGCGGACTGTCCTCGCGGATCTCGAACAAGACCTGGAGGAGACTCGATAGTGCCTTCCCTCCGGCTGCTTCCACGCACACACTAAACATCTTGGCGTTAGTCGCGGACTATTCTGAGCAGACCCAGGAAGTGTAGTCGCCGAAGATGCAGAATCAAAAGAGTGGTGCACCCCACCTCACATTGTAAAACCAATTCTCATCCGTGGTGTCCGTGAATGTGAGGTCGATGGATACGTTGTCCAACGTCCAACCTTTCGCCTCGTCCTTCCGCCGTGAATTCCACAAGACCGTAGAGGCGTACGTTCCCAACGGTGCCGTACCCAATTCTGCACTCAGGCGGTCTAAGAGGACGGATATCGACTCTGGGAGCCGGTCTATCACCGGCAGCACACCGTTGCCCCAGATGTATCCGTGGGCGACGAAGGTCAGAATGACCAACATTCGCCGTTTCTCGGCCAGTGACAATCTTGAGCAGTCACCCGGTCGGTACAGGGGGAGCTCGCGGACCTTGTCTCGCAGCTCCCCTGAGGAGATCGCCTCTGGCAACGGAGGATGCGAAAGGAGGCCCTCTATCGGTGCAAATGGAGGAGGGAGAGATGTCGCCGTCGCAACCTCAGGCACGAAGGCCGTCTCGAGGGAGATGTCATACCTGCTTAGTGCACCTAGGTCTATGATGTTAGCCGTCATTGTCGCCTGACCTGCAATCTATGAGGGAAGGTAGCACTCCGAATTTCGGGGCTGTATTGTCCGTGAAGTCCATAACCGATACGGTCCTGTCGAAGGTTTGTTATATACATTGACCGCGACGGAGAAACGCGCGACGGGGGGGATCGTCACCCAGCTCGCCGGGACAGTCTCACGTCGTGGAGAAGTCCAAACTCGGTAGTTGAATCCTGTGCTATAAGTCAAGTCTTCAGCGTTCTCGTTCACCAATCCACTCATACTGTACAACTGCCCCACGAATAGTCCAGAGATAGACCAACCACGCACGCCTGATGGATCCGCCGAAAGGCGCTCATTTCACCTCCCTGTGAAGGCGCTAGGTGTTTTATGATCCTACGACCACGGTCCTCACCGACGGCAGGAGGTGGGTGACGATCCGCAAGTATGTCGTTGGAATGGCCGAATCGCCACCTCAATGACCGGGCTCCTTGAGCCAGTCAGGATGATGGTGAGGGTTTGTCACACCCTAATGAGATGGATATACTCCGGACCTTGTGGTAGACCCCGGAATCGAGAATGTGACGGCATAGTATACCCAATATAGTTGTGTTGTTCATCGTACAACGATCAAGATAGCCACAGAAGTGCCTTAAGTTGCTTATCATTGCGGCCGAGCCTGTACGGATGGCGCTGCAGCGCTCGCTGTTATACATAATTGAGGGAGTTCGTGGATAACCTTCGCCTGAGGCGTCATAGAGAGGTACTGTATAGACAGTATCCAATCCGGAATGACATGGCTCGAGCCAGCTGCCAAGACGAAGTGTCTTTCCCGCCACCGAGAGCAGTCACGACGGATTACTGACCATTTATCAGAGGGCGCGCAGCGCGGCTGCCTTGACCCGGATTTTGTCACTGGATATTGGCTTCCTGGAAAAACGTCAGCGATTACCCCCTGTTGGTGGAGAAGCGAGACCTGTAGAGACGAAGAGCATCGACCGGTCTGTGTACGTTCTAGAGCGGGATGAGCGAATCTACATACGATCGGTACGCCTTGGTGTCACACCGATTGGCAGAAACATGCAGTCGGATTCTAAGTCACTATCGGCGAGGATTGAGCAGTGAAGGGAACGCAAGGAAATGGTGGGACGAAAAGAAACAGCGGAGTGACGAATCAACTTAGCCTTAAGCACAAAGCGATTCACCAATAATTACTAGTAGTTACAGACATGTTGCAACTTTCGTTTCCAACCACGCTTTCTCTTTATATAGTCTAGCGGGGTGATCTTAATGACGAATCATAACGATGTAGGGCTTGGCCAAAACATGTATCGCTCTGTAAGCTCTGTTCTAAAAGACTCAGAATGACTGTCAAGCTCGAAACACTGGCACCGCGACAACGGACACGGTCGTATCTATGGCAGAAAAGCTGCTTTGCCGTCCTAGAGCCTCGCTGACGTCATAACAGAAGCCGCCGAAGTTTTCTATCTACGATTCGCGCTCTTTCTTCCAGCGTGTATTATTGCCAGCCGCATACAGAAATGGAAGGACTCTGGAAGAGAAAGGGTGCTTAATCGTTCCTTGTTCAGCTTCAGCGTAGCTCGGGAAAGATGCAAGAGTCAACCTTGTCGAGGATCCGCGGCAAAAGGAATCCGGAAGTCTCAGCCACAAAAACTGGACAGATGGGTTTTGACGCTGGCGTCTCTGAGGCGAATCAGCACCTAATCTCAATATCGTGCAGGGGGTTACAAGTACTATGTACTCCGTAGAACTAAGATCAACTCGATCGGAATGCTATAACCACGTGAAATAGGTATTTGGGGTTGACTGATTGGGCCCGCATCCCCTGTATTCAGCGGGCTGGATCTGACGCCCTGGTTAGGGGAAGCTTCAGCCGCAGGCTGGCAGTGGCGCACACTGGTCAAGCTGCCGCAGATTTTGTTCACTCAAGATTTTTCCCGTGTTGATCATGTCTCCGGGTTGATTCTTCGTTAAGGATGATGTCTCAATATTTCAGCAGCTACTGCAGCATGAAAATACCGTGTCTCGGCCCTCAACGATCCTCCCAACCTCCCTGAGCTCTATTGATCTTAAGACGATGAACACATACCCGGAGGATAAATCGCAAATATCTCTTCGAGGATACGGTATTGGTAGAACCGTCGCGCCACGTGGAGCCCGTTCAGATCCGTCTGTTGTCGTTTCCTTTGGCGCATTCGACTGAAACATGGGTTAAAAAGAGTAGGATGGTCAAACATGGAACAAGACGATACCGACTCAAGTTGAACCATGAAAAAGGGCACATATATTCGCCGATGAAGTGATATCGCGTTGTGCAGTGTCGGTGAGACGAGCCGGAGAGAATCAAGCACCGACCCGAGGTGCAGGAAGCGTCCTGCGCCCGGCGTTGGATCTGTCTCTTTGAGGCAAGGCCAGAGCGTCGCCAATGGATAAATACACACCATGCACGTAGGAGAAGGGATGATGGTCGTGAAGAGAGGCGCTCCGATGGGTACGGTATGGTATACCCAGGGCTCGAAGATGTTGATACGCGGATAGGTAAGAAGACTTGGGTAAAACCCTTGCTTCACCCTGCTTTCATTCCAAATAGCCCTAGTGTCTTCCCAAGAAGGCTATGGGCCAATGATGAAAAAGCTGCAATCGACAAGGAACAAAGTGTCGATGCGTAATACCGATAGGCATTGTATTCCTGGCCCTTCTTCGTCGCCAAGAATCGTGAAACTTTGGCTTTGGCCAAGATCGGGGTTAGAGTTGTGCAATGCACACAGTTGTTGATCAATCACAGAAAGAATCCTCTCACCGGGAAAGTCAGCATGTGTAGGCCACTGGCCGACTTCGGCGATTACTTCTAGTACCTTGTCATTCGAAAGAAAGTCTACAGTATCAACGAAGCATAGTGAGCTGTTGAATCGATGGCCATCTTCAGACATATAGAAATCTACGGACGCGCAAGTTCGCAAGAAAGGTGGGAGAAGTAAGGGGTTGATCAAATCCAGACCCGGATTGAGCTTAGGCATTGTGAACGGGCGGCTTCTAATACGCCGAATACCACCTCTTGACTACGCCTAGTTTAATCAGGAGACGCAATTTGGTGACGCTAATTGGTGCAATGCACCACATCCACAATAAGCTTCGGAAGAGCTCGGCTTGGGCCCGTAGCGATTAGTGCAGAATCACGCGTCGGTTCATAAGTCATTCAGATTCGTTCACTCCCACCCACATACAGTATCCCACGACTTTTGGAACGTAGTCTCAGAAAAAACTCTCAGATGCTGAGCATCCATTGCCCCGGATAGGCTATCACCCTCCACGCCCTGCGGTCGCTCTACGAGGCCGCCAAAATCTCAATCCTCGCGACCGTGCTCTACGTCGATTTCAAGGCTAGCTCAATGCTCGTGTTGCGCCTGAGACAGTTGCCGTTTTACGTGCGCTTCAGGCGTTACCTGATTGCGCCTAGTGCCAGGAGATCTTGCGACATGGCAGGACTCAGGAGAGGTCTTCCTGGCACCTAGCAATCTGTATATAGACGCTCAGACCTGGCCTGAGAAGAGGCATAGGCAGACAGACCAATCCATGACCCATTCACGATCCTGCTAGTTCGACAGCTCGCTTTTTGGAATCCCAGATAACATTCGACGCTCAGTAATCAGCTCTCAAACCATTTCTGCGGCGGCTTTCCAAACGATGCAGTCACATCTGGCCAATAGATTTAAACAATGAACACCTCGGTGAAAAGGCAGGAACGGGCGATACAGATTGGATGCAGATCGAATTTATGCATCAAGGGATGAATATGCGTATTGTACCGATATGATCGAGGGGTACGGAGTAATTTACTCCGTATAGTAATTTCGATCGAGAGCCCGGTGGCCTAGGATCCAAGGTAAATAAATCACAGTGGGTCGGCACCATGAGGCCGGCGGAACCTGTTGACGACCCACCTGAGGACCTCTGGCAGTTACTGTCTCAGGGAACGCCAATCAAAACGGCCATCTAACAGAAGCCCTTTGAGAGGGCCTGGGCGCAATGCATGACGACTATGACTATCGATTGATAGTCATAGTCACCGAGCTCCGATAGTCATAGTCATGACTATTAGTCATGACTGTCAGTCGTC